CAGGGGGGGGGCAGGGACGAACCCCCCCCCAACCCCCCCAACCAACCCCCCCCCCCCACCCCCCACCCCCCACCACCCCCCCACCCCCCCACCGCCGCACCTCGGGACGAGAATCGCTCCGCCGTCGCCGCGCCCGCCGCCGCTGCCGTCCGGGCTCGCGCCGCCGCCGCGCGCGCAGCGGGGCGGTTCGAGTCCATCTCTGCGGCAAGCGGAGAAAACGCGCCTTGCCCTCGCGCCCCCGCCGCCGCATGCCCCGCCGCCTCCGCCGCCGCCGCCTGCGCCGCCGCCTGCGCGGGCGCCGAGGCTGCGCGGCGGTAATGCTGCGGCCGAGGCGGTGCGCGCTGCGGAACGCCGCCGCCTCCTCCCGCCGCCTGCGCGGGCGCTGCCTGTGCCTGCGCCGCCGCCGCCGCCGCCGGCGCCACGCTCCCCGCGACCGAGGGGGTGCGGTGCGGAGGGGTGGGGGTGACTGGCTTCGCGGCTGGAGTGGTTGCAGACAGCGGCCGTGGGCCGGGCTCTCCGAGCCTGCGGCAGAGGGCGAGTTAGGCGAGTCAACACGCTCGCAGGGTGGTGGGGCGAGAGCTGGGCAACCCTCGCATACCCAACTCCACAGACAGGAGTCGCGCCGCATTCAAAGTGCAAGGCACGGTGTGCATGTGCGCGTGCGTGCGCGTGTGTGTTTGCCTCCGCCGCCCGCCGCGCCGCCGCCGGAGCGGCACGGCGCCGGCAGCCCGCGGCGCCGCGCCCCGCCTCGCTTGCACCCCGCCCGGCGGCGGGGCGCCTAAAGAGGAGGGGCCCGAGACGGTTCCGGAAAGGGACTGGGTGAGGCGGTGGCGGCGAGATGGCGGGAGGAGCGCGCCCCACTGCGGCTGCGGCTGCGGCTGCTGCTGCTGCTGCTGCTGCTGGGGAGGGGCCCACCGATGAAGGCGCGCCTGTGCCAGAAGGGGGGGGGGGGGGGGGGTTGGGGGATTAAAGGGGAAAAAAAACCCGGAAGGGAGGGACGGACGGAGGGAGGGAGGGGAGGGAAGTAGGGAGGGAGGGAGGAAGGGAGGTAAGGAGGGACGGAGGGAGGGAGGGAGGGAGGGAGGGAGCGGGAGCACCTGTTGCCGTGCCTCAGCGGAGCCGGCGAGAGGGCTCTTGAGGAGGCTGGCGGTGGGGGGCGCGCCCGGCCTCGGGAGCGCCCGGTGCAGCCGCAGCGGGGGCCCGCGGCGCAGCGGCGGCGGCGGCTGGAGAGGCCGCTGCAGCGCCTGCGCCATCCGCTGCTGGGCGAGGAACGGCGCGGCGACGGCGGCTGCGCGGCGCGGGTCCATCCGGTTGAGCTCCGCGCCGGAGTAGCCTTGCGCACGCGCCGCCACGGGGTCGAGCATCGGACCCGGCCCCGGCGGACGGCGGCCAAACACGCCCGAGCGCCGGGCCTCGCGCCTCGCGTCGGCAGAGCCAAAGCGGCCGCCGAAGCCAAAGCTGGCTTCGACGCCGGCAGCCGCCGGTCGCGCCGCGAGCGCCGCCTGGAAGTGCGGCCGGGCGTGCGCCAGCGCCGGCCGGAAGACGAGCGAGGGTGGGTCAACAACGAAAACGAGGACTGCTGCCATCCTTCGAGATCTTCGAAGTCATCAGAAGCTGGAAGAGCCCTCCAGAAAGAAAATCTTTATGCACTCACTCACGCGCGATGACGGTCACACAGGAGCGACACACAGAAACACAAGACAAGACACTCAGCCGAACTGACTGCCACACATCCTGAGCGAACTTCCCTAGTCACCCGCGGCCGGACTCCATCCGGCACGCGTCGCTGGGCGCTCAGAGCCGCGTCCCCTGCGAGGCCCTCTACGCTGGGGTCGGGTTTTTTTTTCGGGTCCCTCAGCTGTCTGTAGCGGCGCCACTCACCACTGTCGCTGCGCCGATCGCTCACCGTGCTGTCGCTGCGCCGATCGCTTCGCCCCTTGGCGGCGAGGGCCGCGATGGACTTCGCCGCCACCCAGAACTTCTGCGAGGGCGCCACCCAAAACTTCTGCGACGGCGACGAGAGCGACGAGGAGGACAAACCACAGTTGATCCGGCTCCTCGACGGTGGTAACGCTGGGGTGACCATGCTCCCGTCTGTCGACGGCGGCGTCCTATCTATCGGGCGCGCCGCGAGCGACGACGGAGCGTCCGCTCTGCTCCTGACCGACGAATCGCAGCCACAGCCGCCCAAGGTCTCCGCTCGCCAGGCAGAGGTGCGCCTGGTCAACGGCGCCTTCACCCTGCACGTGTTGAGCAGTGCGACATTCACGTTCGTCAACGAGCAGCACTACATCAAGCCCGGGGGCGGGTCGCCCCCCGCCGTCTCGCTCTTCCACGAAGACACGCTGCGCTTCGGTGGCGGCATCAAGGCATCCCAACGCTACGACAAGTTTGTGTTTAGGGTCCACGCGCCCGAGCACCCCCGCCCCGGCAACAATGGCGTCGCTGCAGCTGCGCAGGGTGGCGTCACTGGCGAGATGCCGATCGTGGCGGAGCAGATTGGCAGCGGCGAGGGAGATGGCGAGTGGGCGAAGGCTAGCCTCCTCCTCCCGGCCGTCGCCACCGAAGCGGCGATCGCTGCGCCCAGCGCTGCCACGTCTTCAGAGGCACCGAGCGCGCCAGCAGCCTCGCTCCTGGGAAAGCGAGCCGCACCGGCGTCGGATGTCATGCTGGGTGCGGCAGCGGGTTGCGCGGTCGCGGGTGGCGCGGTCGCGGGTGGCGAGCCGGCCAGCACAGAGTCGGCATCGGCAGGCCAAGCCTCTGTGGCAGGCTCAGCGGGGCGTGAATTTCAGGTGGCGACGCTTTCTAGTTCGGCCCGAGGCGTCGAGCGCGGCTTCAAGGTGCGTTTCAGTGCGCGCGGGCCCGAGCAGGCCGGCTGGTCTTCGGTGCTGCCGCCAGTGCTCCAATTCGCGGTGGTCAAGCGGGAGTCGATCACGCCGTCGCTGCAGCGCGTGGCGTTCCGTCTGACCGACCTAGCGGGCGAGTTCGAGCCGTGGCTCAAGTTTGTGCGCTCGTCGTCGTCGCGGTGCGGGTGCATGCAACTGCCGGGCGGCGCAAGCGTGATCACCACGGCTGTTGTCGGCAGCGAGCTGGCGTGCGAGCTAGTCGGCGGCGGTGGGGCACTGGCCGAGATGGAGCGGCAGCTCGCCGCCAAGAGCCGCGCAATGAGCGAGCTGGCAGCGGAGCGAGACGCCGAAGCAGCGGCCCGCAAAGAGGCCGAGGAGAGGGCCGTGGAGCTGCAGCAGGAGGTAGAGGAGTGGGAGAACCTCTCGCGCGACGCAGCGACGATGCGCGAAGGCATGGGGCAGCAGGCGGACTGCGGACCGGGCGAGCTGACGCAGCAGGTGGACGATCTGTGGTCGGTTGTCGAGGAGCCCGGCGACGAGCTGCGCCAACGCGACCAGGTGACACCTGCCCCCAGCTCAAGTCCCCTCCGCGCCGCTTTCGAGCCGTGGCTCAATTTGTGCGCTCGTCGTCGTCGCGGTGCGGGTGCATGCAACTGCCGGGCGGCGCAAGCGTGATCACCACGGCTGTTGTCGGCAGCGAGCTGGCGTGCGAGCTAGTCGGCGGCGGTGGGGCACTGGCCGAGATGGAGCGGCAGCTCGCCGCCAAGAGCCGCGCAATGAGCGAGCTGGCAGCGGAGCGAGACGCCGAAGCAGCGGCCCGCAAAGAGGCCGAGGAGAGGGCCGTGGAGCTGCAGCAGGAGGTAGAGGAGTGGGAGAACCTCTCGCGCGACGCAGCGACGATGCGCGAAGGCATGGGGCAGCAGGCGGACTGCGGACCGGGCGAGCTGACGCAGCAGGTGGACGATCTGTGGTCGGTTGTCGAGGAGCCCGGCGACGAGCTGCGCCAACGCGACCAGGTGACACCTGCCCCCAGCTCAAGTCCCCTCCGCGCCGCGTGCGCGCGCACACATGAACGCCCTCCCCGCTCGCAGCGGGCCTCGTGTGCCTCACACACCGCGCATTCTGCCCCCCGGGCACACCCACCCACCCACCCTCCCACCGCGCACTGGCCTGGCGCTACCCACAGGAGCTCATGCGAAAAGTGCGGCTGCTGCTGGAGCGAGCACTAAACAGGACCTTCGACGGAGGGCGCGCCGTCCCCACTGGCTTTCGCAAGATGGCGCTGCACGACAAGCTAGGCTCGCTCCGCGCAAGTCGCAACATCCCCGATTCTCTGTTCAGCGTTGCGCACCTTTTATACCATGTTCAATCCCCCCTCCGGGTGATGCCAAGGCAGCAAAACGGGCTACGGGTGGTGCCATGCAGCCAGCCTGACCCCCTAGAGCCGCCCGGCACCACCGCACCGGTGCGAGGCGTGATCGTGCTGCTTGGGGTACATTGTTGTTTTCATGGGCTCGAATGCGGTGTGAAAAAGGCGCTCCGAGGTGCCGATTTTGCACGAGAGTGCGAGGTTCGAGCTCTCGTGCTCCGTCCACAGGCTGCGAGCCGTCGAGTGCTCGCTTCGCACTTTCCATTGGGTCCGTTGGCGCATATCGGGCGCCTCGCAGGCACGCCGTCCCCGCGTCTCTGTGGAGGAGATGCGTCACCCGGTTGCACTCAAATCGCAGCCGAACGCCATATCGCTCCGTGTGCCCCACCGGTGGCTAGCCTGCCGCCACCGCTTCTTCGCACTTTCCATCAGATGTATGGGCGCGGGGCGGATGCCTCGCCGGCAGCCGAGGTGCTCTCTCCTCGGATCCTTTGCGTCACCCGCAAAAAGTTCTTCGGAAGCCACTGCCGTCTGGACACTCCACCAGCCCTCCTCGCCTTTTGAGGCTGGGATTGGTGTCGCCCGTGGCATCTGCGCCGGTCGGAAGCTTCCACGTCGCTCATGCGCATCAGGGCGAGCGAAACGCTCGCCCTCGGACCGGTTGCCTCTGTAGAAGCTAGCCCGCTACTGTGCACCACGCTGTGTCCCTCTCTCAAAGAGGGTGTGTGTGACGATACGCTTCTAATCTATACCCGTGCCGAAAATCACACGCACACACATCTGAATCACACACACATCTGAAGACAACTATCTGAATCACACGTCGGTCTAGGTCAACATCTCAAAGTCCGAGTCTGTGTCCTCGGCAGGCTCCTGCTCCGCCGCTGCGCCAAAGGCGGTCAGCGTTGCGGAGCCTGTGTGCGGCAGTTGGCGCTGGACATAGGCTAGACGTAACAGCGTGCGCACGTCGTTTCGGCGCTGTGCGACGAAGGCGTTGTTTTTTGCCTTCGCCGTCTTCATCGCCGTGCAAGTCCGCCGCATGCCGTTGAGCGGGGTGATCTCCTCACGCCTGCGGGGGCGGCGCGACACCGGTCAGCCTTATCGCAGGCATGCACACACACACACAGGGAGAGCGCACCCGCGAAGGTACTCGCTGAAGGAGCGAGTCAGGTCGCTCCTCACGTAGTCGACAGCCACCTCCGCGACAAAGTCCACCCAGAGCGCGCACTCGTGAGTGCAAGACTGCAGCTGCACATCCACCACCTCCAGCGCCCAGCCGGCGGCAGGCCCGGGGCTCCGGTGGAAGCAAGACGCGATGCCCGAGTCGATTGCGCCGCCATAGGGCTCGTGGTAGAGCACCCGTCTCTGGTCGACGAAGAAGAGGAGCTGGTGCCAGTGCCCGCCAAACTCGCTGCCGTCGGTAAAGCGCTGCATGACCAGCTTGCGCTCCGTCGGTGCCTCGCCCGCGAACAGCTTCGCCACCCACCCGGTGGGGGCTCCCGATTTGAAGCGGTTGAAGAGCGATCCGGCGCGAATCGTCATCCCCGAGATCGGCGCCCTCGCCTGCACGTCCTGGCTGTCGGCCCACGGTGAGAGGTCCTGCATGTTATGCACAATGATGTCGTTCAAGTGCTCGTCGTACCTGTCCGTCGGCACGGGGCAGCTCGAGCGACGCTGGGTCGCCCGGCCGTAGAGCGTCGGCTCTAGCTCTGTCCACGAGATGCCGAGCCCAGCTTCTGAGGAGACGGTAGACGAACCGGCCTGGGCGGAGCCAGCAGCACCGCTAGAGGCCGCATCCGTGGTGGAGCTAGAGGCCGCGGCGGAGGAAGTGGCGGCGGCGGAGCTGGCAGAGCTGGTGGCGGCCGCGCGGTTGAGAGTGGCGGCGGAGGCGGAGGTGCCAGTAGCGGTGGCGGAGGAGGGAGGGTCTGCGCGTGCCCGACGCCACACGCGGAGGGTGCCGGGCTGGAGCCGCGCGCCGGGGTCGCTCCGGATCGCGTCCAGAGCAAGACGTAGCGCCTCGCCCGCCAAAGCTTGCCCGGCCTCGGCGGGCAGCAGCTCTTCCACGCTCGACAGCGGCTCGGCCACCTTGCGGATCGGAGTCTTTGACTCGCCGCGGTTCCACGGATCCATGATGTAGAGGTCCGACCCATCCAGCACCTCGTGTAGCCAAAGGTGGCTGACCTTGTTTGCCCTGGCGGCTGGAGTCTCCGTAACCAGAGCGAGGTAGACGCCGGGCTCGTCGCGGTAGGTGATCTCCGCGACGCGGTCCTTCAGGAGCCGGGACCGCGTCTCGGCGATCGATGACACCGGCGACTCGGTCGCGCCTCCGTCGTGCTGCTGCGCGGCCGTGGCAGCGTCCGCCGCCGCCGCCTCCGCCTCCTCCGCCGCCTCCCCTTCCGCCTCTGAGTCGACGTCGTCGTCGTCATCACTGCCGTCTACGTCCATTTCGCCAGTCATCGGCAGCTGCGCCGCGCCGCTCGCGCGCTCTGCCCGCCTGGCAGCTACCTCGCGCAGCCCTACGACTTGCAAGTCGAGCCGGGCTTGGGCACGCAGCTCGCGAGGCGTCGGCACGCCTGATGTTTGCGTCCCGGTTGTCGCTGTAATCGCTTCGCGAGCGGCGGCACGGTGGCCAACCTCCTCCAGCTCGAGGCGTCCGATGTCTGCCACCAGCGTGAGCACGCTTGCTTGCTGCTGCTGCTGCTGCTGCGCAGGCTCCGCTGGAGCACTGCTGAGAGGGAGGTTCCTCGTCAACCTCCATGCGATCTCCGTTCGAGGCCGCAGCCGACGAGCCGCCGACGAGCCGCTGCGGCGCTGCACGGGAGAGCGATCCTCGGCGTCCGTGCTCTCTCTGGTTGTAGATCCCGTCGCGGCGGCCCTCGTCGCTCGTGCTATGCAGCTCCATGGCCTCGCCGAGGACGTCGCCAACCGTAGCATGCCGCGGTGCTCTCAGGTTCTTTGCGACGCCGACTCTGCGCGAGCCAGCACGGCTTTGCGGCCGCGAGGACGTTGCACTCGGCGAGGGCGCCTGTTGTGACGAGATCGGAAGCGTGAGATAGCGACGACTGCGCAGGCACAGAGTCGCAAACTGGCGGTACCGAGCGGCGATCTGGTCCTGGCCTGGAGCCGGGACGGTTGGCCGCTTTTGCGACGCTGTCCCAGGCCTGCGCCCGCTCTTTTCGGCATGGCTCGAGCACGAGACAAGTCGGAAAACCGCGACAACTTGGCGGGCATTCACAGATTTTTACCACCTCGGAAGCAACGCCTGTGTGTTCACCGGTGCTAGAGAGTGTCGAAAAGGAGTCCACACTGCATTCATCGACATCAACGCGCCCCGCTGCGCCGCGCTACTCGCGAGAGCGGGAGGAGATTTGGGGAGATTGTCGGGAGATTTCCAAGATTGTCACCGGGGTGTGCGTGGGTAAGTCGTGCGTCCTACGTGCCAAGGCGATGTGCATGCTAGTCTGGCTCGTCCCAATACGCTCAGGGGGCCGAGAACAGCGCTCTGTCGCGCGCTACTTTCCGTGCTGCTGAGAGAGGCCCGGAGGGGCCCACCACGGCCCACGCTCGCCTCGGAAATGCAAAAAAATGCTCCCAGGCCCCCTCCCGCCCACCCCGCACACCTGCTTGACTACTCCCGAGCCCCACGAGCCGAGGCGAGAAAGTTCGAATTAAAGTGCGGAGTTTGAACATGGTGCCACCAGCTCCGCCTCGTGGGGAATGTCGCTTCCCATGACACGGACCACCCCCTCCCTCCGCGCGGCCAGCTGCTCGATTTGGTGGCCAGCCTTAAGCAGGAGATGATCCTGTGTTCCCGCTCGAGGGTGCAGCGCTAGATTCGCATGGAGGTGTTCGTTCGGGTTCCGTCGATCTAAAAAAGAACGATATTAAGTTATACGACACGTGCGTCGGCCCAGCCCCAGGCTCGAGCCGCTCGGGAGACGCGACGACTCTCTCTCTCAGCGTCTGGTCTCCAGGTGCCCGCCTAGCGACATTCGCCGGCACACTCCCCCCCCCCCCCCCCTTTCCCCGGAAGTTCGTCGCATTTCTAGCACAACACTGTGCGTTTGGATGTCTGCGGAGATTCTGTCTTAGCACACACAGTGAGTCATTCGGAGTCATTCGATGGCCAGAGTGCGATTGTGTGTGTGCGGGAGTTGGTTTGTGCTTTGTCGGGAGGGAGTGGGCAGGCTGCTCACCCACGTGCACCGGGCCAGTGCTTGCACTTTGAATGCCGTGGGGCTCCTGCCCGTGTCCGGGTGTGGAGATGCGAGGGTCGCCCCCCCTTGCCCCACCACTTTGTGTGTGTGGAGAAATTTACCTTACCTTACCTTACCGTTCCCAGGCTGCCTAATGGGATGGAAAGGAAGGCTGGGAGAGCGTATAGAAGCGTGCCCGACCTCGTCGTGGCAACCTGCACGGCAGCGCTGGTGTAGGCGCGATGAGCGTCGTGCCACCTGACCCGAGACGGGTCGCAGGCGTCGTACCGAGCGCGTCGAGACCGTGTCCTGACGTGATCTGCACGGGTGAGTCACGTCGGCATCAAAGGAGCGACGTGCGACCTGTCAGAGCTTGATCTCCGATCTCAGTGGCGTCCCGAGTCGTCTCCGGCGGCGACAATTTTGTCCCTCCCCAGGACGCGCAGAGGCAGCTGCGACCCAGCCGAGTAGACGGGCGCACACCGCGCCACCTGCTGCGCAGCTGCCTCTGGATGTCTGGAAGGCACCGAGAGGGACAAAATGGCGCAAATGGTCAAATCAAGGTTTTGTAACGCGATCTGTGCCACAGTGAAATGGCACTAGCCTTTGTCATTTGTGGGATATCTTTTTGAAACGATGGGCTGCTGTGGCGGGGCCTGGGCCGTGCGGGGACGCCCCCCCCCCCCCCCCAAACCGGACACACGGCGACGCAATCACGGACCGAGCTCTTGCGGCTGTTGAAAGGCTCAAGAGGCGAGCCCGGCTCCAGAACGTCAAGCCGTCACGGCCCAAAGTGTCAGCGCGCACCGGGTCGCGAAGGCGGGTCTGACCTCGTGGAGCACGTCGCACGCGCGGAAGAGCACGAGTCGCCCCCCGAGCGGCGCGATCTCCACCGCCTCGCCGTCGCGCCGCCACGCGCGCAGCTCGCCGCCGCCGTCCCAGCCGGGCGGCTGCAAGTAGAGGATGGCGGTCAGGCGGCGCGGGTTCGAGGCGGGCTCCTTGCAGTCCAAGTGAGGCTTGTAGAAGGCCGCGCGCGCCCGCGAGCCGTCGTAGACCGCGGCCTGCGGCACGGGGGCAGTCTACTGGCTCGTCCGTCCAAAGCGGCGCATAGTCCTCTTGCAAGACCTCGCAGGCAGCTGCAGTAGGAGAGCCCACACAGGAGTCAGTGCATGGAGGAGACTGCTGAGGACTACGCTCGCAAGCGGTGGCCTGCAGCGGGAGAGGCGATCTCGTGCAATCTCGTGCAATCTCGTGCAACCTCGAGCCTGCACTGGGAGAGGCACCGCCAGCGGCCAGCCTCCCGCCTCCTGCACCTCCGCGGGCAAGGCGCGCAGCAGGCGGACAGCGAGAGAGAGGGCGCGGCTGCCGCTCGCCTGTGGAGGAGAGTTGGAGGGGGGGGGGGGGGGGGACAGTCGCCACGTGGGCCGGTCCCTACTCACACAGATCCGTCGATCGTGGGCAATCTCGGATCATCTCGGCGAGGTCTCGCCTCGAGCTGGTCTGCACTCAGCCAGCCGATCCGGTCGTTGCGCACGCCTTGCGCCGCCTGGTGCCGCACCTCGGACAACCTCGCCTACCATCAGCGACGAGCAGTCAACAGCATTGCGCCGCCTCGCGACGCTACTCCTCGCACAGCCTCGCCGATCCGTCCATGCTCTGCAATCTCGTGCAATCTCGTGCAATCTCGTGTGATCTCGTGCACAGCCTCGCCGAGCCGTCCATCGCCAGCAGCTCGGAGCGAGCCGCCGCCACCTCGGAGGGAGATAGCGCGCCGTCGACCTACTCACAGCCGTCGGCGTGATCAGGCGCTCTTCACACCCCCGGACAGAGCCAGCGCGTAGCCGACCTGTTCACGGCGACCGCTGTGATCAGACGCTCTTCACACCTCCGACAGAGTGAGGTATCCCGCCCACCACGGCGATGCCATCTCCGTGCGACGGCCGCAGTGCGCTCCTCACTCCGTCGGTGATGAGCTGAGACGCGCGGCGCCACCTGGCGGGAAGGGGCGGAGGAGCTCCTGGCGTCGAGTGGCGGTGGCGGTGGCGGTGGCGGCGGCGGCGGCGGCGGCGGCGGCGGCGGCGGTGGCGGCGGCGGCGGCGGCGGCGGCGGCGGCGGCGGTGGCGGCGGCGGCGGCGGCGGCGGTGGCGGTGGCGGTGGCGGTGGCGGTGGCGGTGGCGGTGGCTGCAGGTTATGCGGACGTGGCGGTGCCGAGTGATGATGTGTGCAAAGCATTTGGAGAGTGCAGTCGCGCCGGCATTGCGCCGCCGGCACCGCGGACGCGCCGCCCCAGTAGTCTCCCGACTGCTGCGCCTCTTCGATCAGCTTGCCAGACAGTGCTCGCTCAAACACGGCAGCCGCGAGCTGCTCGGCCGACGCCAGCTCCTCCTGCCGCCGCACTCCGTCCGACAGCAGCTTCTCGCGGACGGCGGCAAGCTCCGCAGGACCGAGGCCTAGGACGGCGCGGCCTGTCGCCGCAGCGAACTCCTCTGCGCTTGACGCGCGCGCCTCCCAGCCGTCGGCCGAGCGGAGAGAGGCGGCGAGGCCTGCCAAGACGCGAGCCTTTGCGGCCGCTGCGAGCGACGCAAAGTCGGAGCTAGCGCAGGTGCTGGAGCTACTGTCCGAGGCGGACGAGACGTTGGAGCTAGCGCACGGACGGCACGGCGGCCGCAGGCGCCAGGCAGCGTCGCGATCTACACAGCGAGCGGTCGAGTGGTGGGCTGAAGCGGCCATTCGTGCAAAAGAGAAAAAGAAAAAAATAGCGCTCAATGGTGGGCGACGTCTAGCGCATCACACCCCTCTCCTTAAAATCCCTCCCCCGGCTACAAAGGAGTGTGGCGGCACGCCTCTGGCCGCTTCAAGGCGCTGCACTACGTGAACGGAAGGCAGGTACATCTCGGCTGCTTCGACACGGCGGTGGAGGCGGCGGCGGCGTATGCGCGGGCGGTCGGGCAGGCGGCGGCGGCAGGAGAGGCAGGGCCGTCGGCAGCGGCGGCGGGCGAGGCGTCCGATTCGGACGAGGGCGAGCCAGGCGGCGCTGGCGGCGAGGCTGCAGCCGCCGAGAGCAGCAGCGACGACAACGAGGAGGAGGAGGCCGCCTCGACGCCCCTCCGCGCTCCGAGCTGCAAGACGCTCGGCTGCAGCCTCCGCCTCTGGCACGAGGGGCCTTGCAGCACCGCCGTCACAGGCAAGCGGGCGCGGGCACTCACCGACAAGGCGCGGGAGGCGAAGCGAGGCAAGGGCGCGGGCGGCGGCGGCGGCGGCGGCGGCGGCGGCGGCGGTGACGGTGGCGGTGGCCGTGGCGGCGGCAGCGATGACAGCGCGCAGCCATCCTCCTCGAGCGACGCCGCGCCTTCGGCGCCCGACGCGAGCGTTCAACGCGAGGCGGCGGGGGAGGGAGAGGACGATGAGGTGGAAGTGGATGTGGAGCAGGAGGAGTCGGAGGCGGAGGAGGAGGAGGAGGAGGCGGAGGCGATGAGCGAGGACGAGGTGGAGGAGGTGGCGCCGCCGCTTCAAATCTCCGCCGCCGCCGCTCTTTCGCTCGCAGGCGGCGACGTGCAGATCTCCGCCGCATCAGGCGCTCCCAAGCCACCCCCGTCATGACTACTGTCAGATGCACTCTCACTGCCTCCCTTGCCTGCGCCGCACAGGCCTGCTGCCCGAGCACCTGCCGCACCAGCGGGCGCTCTGCCCTCTCCACCCCTTCCATGCGGCCGAGAGGCCGGTCGCGGCGCCGGTCGAAGGCAACGAGGCGGCCTGCCCCAACTGCTACTGCTTCGCGTGCGACGCGCCCGTGTCCGCGTGCCGCCACTGGCGGGGCGGCGAGCCGAGGGTGCCGGCGCACTGCAACGCGCACGCCGGCAGCGCCGAGTGGCGCACGCATCGCTCCAACGCCAAGCGGCAGCGCACGCGGGCGGCGCGGGCGGCACGGGACCCGCTCGGGCTGGGCTGATAGAATACTGCACGCGCTTGCCGCAGCCCGTCGCTCGGTGGGGGACACGGTGGTCGTACGACGACGACGTTGGCGTGTGTGTGGCCCGACCGCCAACGGCAACGCGCCGCGACCCGGGACCCGCGGCCGTTTAAAGAGACATTGAGATCTTTCGCGGATACTGTGTACACACACGTATAGAGGTGCGGCGTGTTTCAAACGTTTTCCCTTTCCCAGACGCACCGAGCGAGCGCACTGGAGAGTATAAGAGGCGACAGCGGGGACGCGCGCGGTTCAGCCACAGAGCCACCCGCGCGTCGGGACCGTGGGCGCGTGCGCTACATCACCCTCTAGCTTGCCGCCCGCGGCAGCTCGCCGGCGGCGTCTATGCTGCACGGCTCGAGCGGCCGGTTCTTTGTGCCCGAGACCGGCACCGCCTCGAGCTTCCGCACCACCTGGCGGGAGATACGGCCGAGATATGGGACAGCGCCTTGCCGCCCGCACGCACCGACTAGCGCCGCATCTCGGCCAGCGCCGCATCTCGGCCAGCCGCATCGGCTGCGCATCACGGCTATATCACGGCTGTCTCTCGGCCGCTTCTCGTGTGCCATCACGGCCGAATCTCGTCCGCATCTCGCGCGCACCTCCATCCCCTCCGCCACCCGCCCGAACGCCTCGTACCGCCCGTCCAGGAAGCCGGCGTCGCCTGCCCAAAAGAAGAAAGTGGTTGGTCTAGGAAGAGCCCACGAAGGTGCCTGGGAGCCAGCGGTGACCAAACCGACGGATCTCGGCTGCCTCTCGGCTGCCTCGTGGGTATCTCGGCTGCATCTCGGCTGCATCTCGCCGACGAGCTGGATCAGGAAGCGGCTGTCGCTCTGCCCCGAGCCGCCGCCCTTGCCGCTGTTGACCATGCTGACGAGACCCGCCGTGTTGTGCCTGGCGGGCAGCGGGTGCCGCGGGGATTCGTGAGCCACAAGCTCTCGCCGTGTCGGAATGTGGGAAGCCATGTCGCTCGGCAGCAGTCTCGGAAGTGTCTCGGAAGTGTCGCAGCTGTCTCGGAGGTGTCGCAGCTGTCTCGGAGGTGAGTCGAAAGCGTCCCGCGCCGGATCGCGTAGTTGTCGTGCGCGAAGGTCGGCCCCGCGTAGCTCGGACCGCTGCCTAGACCCCACGAGATACAGCCGAGATACAGCCGAGATACAGCCGAGGTGCGGCGGGGTGGTGTCCGTCCGCGAGGCGCCGCTGTACGGTCCTCCGGCGATCTGCCCGCCCTGGACCGTCAGCCCGGACAGGACGGTGTAGAAGGAGGAGCCAGCGTACCTGATTCACAGCCGCAGCCGTGAAGAGACGTGAAGCGGCGCCCGTGAAGCCGACGCCGTCGCGCGCCACGAGCGGGTGTGTGGGCGGGGAGAGAGGCAGCTGTGGCGCACCCGTAGCCCTTCTCACCGGTGCAGAGCGCGCGAAAGTTCTCCACCGCGCGCGGCGCCACCTCGCCCCACAGCTCGATCACGATCTTGCCCGCAGGCCGGCCGCCGATGCTCACGTCGAGGAAGCAGCGCGACGTGATGGCGGGAGGCGAGGCGAGCACGTCGATCGTCGGGCGCCGCTCCTCGTCGAGGACGATCTGGCCGTCGGGACCAACCTTGCCGACCACGGAGGCGCCGCCGCGGGTTGAGCCGTCGGTCGCTGGCGCGGCAATCGCACGGCGAGGCGGCAGGCAGCGCTGCGTGGCGGCGGCGACGGCGGCGCCAACAGCGGCTCTCCTGGACGCAGCTGGCGTGAGGGCGTCCACGGTGGCGAACAGCAGAAGGAGCATCCACTGTTTTGGGCCGGGCCCTGCAAGTCGCGGTTCTCGTTGGTGAAGGGGCTGAAAAAAATGGCAAGAAAGCGGCGAAGGAAGGGACTCTGGGACCGGAGTCGGGCGGGCGCACATGAGGCGTATCCGTGTACGTGCGTGGAGTACAGTGTTGTGTCCGTTAGCTCCGAGTAGAGGGGGCGTTCTGCAGTTAAGGGGAAACCCGGTACACGGAACTAACCCTCGGAGACCCGTGTTTACTTTCCTCCCTGTGGGGGGGCCCGTGAACATCTTTAGCTTGTGAGCCAGGAAAAGGGTTGGTTTACTTTAAGGCCCTTTCCCTGCGAACGCGCACCCCCGGGGCTAGGGCTCTCTTGCCCGCAACCCGATCCCGATCATCCGGCCCGCTGGGTGCGCTTCTGAGCTCCCCGGCCCTGGATGTGAGGCTGCCAACTGCACTCCAAGTGCTCCAAGTGCTCCAAGTGCTCCAAGTGCTCCAAGTGTGGGCCCTCAGGGGAGCTGGGAAGAGGACCGCCGCAAGCGGCGTGGCGTGGAGCGGTTGTGCATCCCTCCGGGGGCCCCTCTGCGCCGGGGAGGCGTTGTTGGAGGCTAGGACTCAAGCGTCCGTCGCCCTTTTCAAACTCGGGGCCCACTCCGCTACGCTCCGACCCGAATTTGGAGGGCCTGAAAGTTTAAGGTGTTGCTGCGCAAAAGGGGTCGGACACAGGGCGCAGCTCATGCTAAGAGCTAGAAGGGGAGATGGAGAGAACAACCACCCTGTCCCGTTATTGCGTACACCAACACCACAAAGCTCTCTCTCTCCTGCTCCTCACACTCAGGGGGCGGTCACGACTACCGAGTCCCTCGACTAGCTGCCACGTTCAAAACCAGGACGGCGACAGCGGTTCGAGTGGTGGCTACCGGATGGTGGCGAACCGCGGGAAAAGAATTCACTTCGGGGTCTAACTATAGCAAGAGAGTACTTCGAGGCCCTGCAGCAAGTCGCGGTTCTCGTTGGTGGCGAGAGCTGAAAAAAATCACCGCCGGCGAAATAGCATCCGCGAAGTTGCCTTCCTATCTATCTCTCTGTTGCCTCTTTGCGCCGCTCGCTCGCGGCGGCGGGAGACATGGCCGCCGATGCGGCTCGCACTCGCTCGGCGGGCCTCCGTCCCACAGCCGCCCGGGCGTGCCACGGGTCGGCCTGGCTGGCGCTGCACTGCTCGCTCGCACGCTGCACTGCACAAAGCTGTGACAACAAGGGGAGGCTCCTGAGCTTGAGCGTTGAGCAGTTTCAAAAAAGAGCTGAGACGTTTCCTCACCAAACAGACCGTCCTCGGAATCGATGCCAACTGCGTCCCAGATGTCCAGCTGGACGTGAGGTCAGACGCCGCCTCGCCATACGACAACAGAGGGGCAAATGAGCTTGCCGATGTGATGACGCACTTCGGACTAGTCGACGTCGCGAGAGAATGGCTCGGACCCGCCCCCTTCTACACCTCGCATCATAACATCACCCTCCGAGATGGAACCAAAAGCACAACATCGACCCGCATCGACCAGATATACCTCCCGACACTCGACGGCCTCTCAGCTGTTCACGAACCAGGAGTCCACGACTTCTTCGCCCGAAGGAGAGACGCAAAAATCCTAGACCACGAGCCGGCGTCAATAGTCACCACCGAGTCGAAGGGAGAAAGAGGACACGACCTTCCAAGAATAGACGAGCGGATTTACGACGACCCCAAAAACAATTCCGACATAGCAGAAATTCTAGCGAGGTGCGAGCATGATCAGGAGAACGCGCCAGGGCAACACTCAGAAATATGGGCGCAGACAAAGAAAGAAATAGTCGCTCTCTCGCTAGTCCGAACCAAGAGAATGAAGCGGACAGAGTCAGCCGAGCAGAGACAGATTAAACTAAAAATCTCCACCCTCAAAGCACTCATCGACCAAGGACAAGCCTTGCCAGACGATGTCACAGAATACCTAGAGGCGCGAGAGGAGCAGAGAAGGATCACCCGCGAGGAGCTGACCCCATATTTTGCGTCAGAGGAGTTTTCACTCAAACAAGGAGCAGCGCACGACACAGGATCAGCAGCCTTCTACAGACCGTACACCCCGAAAGGGTCCAACCACTGGATAAACGAAATCTTTCACGCCGACTGGACCGACCCCTCGAACCCAAAGAAGACAGGGACGACAGCCACGGACCCCTCCAAGATATCAGCGGCGCTCACCCCCTTCTACTCCTCCCTATACGCCCAGAAGCCATCCATCAACCCGGAGCGACCGCTCGCCACCCTCGAGAGCGGCAACAGAGTTCTCCCGACCACCGCCGCCAAGTGTGGCGCGCCGATCTCCGCAGGAGAGATTCAGGACACATGCGATATGCTACCCACGGGTAAATCACCAGGCCCCGACCTGATCCCAAACGCCTTCTATAAAATATTCTCGGCAAAGATCACCCCCATACTCGAGCGGTGGTGAGAGTGCCTGATTGGGGGCGAGTTGGTGCTGCGCCAGGGTGCGAAGCATGCCCTCTTGCTCTGTGCTGAGGCATGCTGGCTGGCGCCCAACACAATGCCCTGGATGCATTGCTCTACGCCGGAGTGGTTCTCGACGTTAGTTAAAATGAACTCGGGCACGGGACGCGGCATAAACGGGGCACAAAACGCCAGGCAATGAATTGACATCTCCCATGAGTGCGAGATAGGGCTACGTAGCAGTAGGCAGCTAGCCTGTGAGGAGGGCGTCCATAGACACCTCACAAGACCCCACACACGGTCTCGACCGTGCCTCGCCGGCCGGCGAGATTGCTAGAGGTGGAGCAAGCCTGCTCTAGCCTCGCATGTTACTTCCTGTTGTCTGTTGTTCGTTGTGCCCTTGTTTGTACTCTTGGCACCTTGGAGTGCTGGGGGGGGCGACAGGGAGCATGTGGCCTTGAGTTATGTGTACGCCAACTGAGGGTGTGTGGCAGCCAGCTGGCTGTGTGTCTTGTGAGCCTGCAAAGACCCGAAGCGGGCACACGATCCGGAGACCCGTACCAGCGGGGCGATGGCGTCTTCGGCAACTGGACGGGGTCTCCACGTCCCGTGGTGTACGATGGCACGTGTGTCACCTCGGTACACTTCGGCATGCTGCGCCCGCTAGCGCGCGGCACGCACCTCGCCACCGACTATGCCGAGGCGACGAAAAGGAGGGCTAAAGCCGCGGCGTGCGAGGCCAACAACTTCGACTTCATGACATGGGCGGCGAGCACGCGCGGCGGCATCGGCACGAGGCAGCGACGTGGTTCAACACCAACTTCGCCGCCAAGTTTGCTCGGGCATCCTCCGATAGCGAACGATGGCGGATCAGCGGTGAGCGCAAGCGCTTCCTGCAAGTGCACTCGACCAATCCATCAACCACATTCATCTTCTGGTGCTTAGCCCCGTGCAACAGCGGTCCGGCAGGCTGCCCCCAAGGCCCCCCGGGCCGCTGCGGGTTTGGGAGTTATGCTTAGGCACAGCGTCGGCGATGGCAGCCCCTCTGTGGGGTGTTGCATAGGCGGGGAGTCTCCCCCGCTGGTCTCCTCCTTCGCATTTTTTCTTTTCTTTTGAGAGCAGAACGCCGGTTTGTCTTGTGTGCGTGTCGGGTCGGGTGTGTGTCAGTGCGGGGTGGCGGGGGACGGGGGCGCGCAAGGTCAGAGGCTCAACCACTCGTCGGCTCGTCGGGGTTGGAGAAGGGGAGGGGGAGTCTGGACGGTCGGCGAGGGGGGTGTAGCAAGCAGCGCGTACGGGGTAGCCGCCACTTTCCTGCCTCACAAGGGCGGGGCTGTCCCGGAAAGTGAGAAACGCCGGGCAGCGTGGTGCACAACTTCAACCTCCCATACATACGTGTTTGTCTCGCTCCTTTCCTCGGGCTGTTCCATCTACCCATCTCCTTCCAACCCACGAACCCAGGCGAGGGGCGGGGGGGGGCGCGCGGGTGCGGGATGCGGTGCGGTGGTGTCAAATGAGTGAACACTTTGAGGCCTTTTGTCTTGCTTGGGTGTGAATAAGACGTTAGTCGTTACCACATCACGCCTTGCGCACGAAGATAGTTTGTTACCAACGTGAAAAAACACGCCAGACGGCAGCGGGCAGGCTGAGTGAGATTTTGTACAAACAAAGCCTACTGAGTTGATTGAACACGCAGTCGACCACGCTGTGGGGGTTGTGTGCGGGTTGTGTCTGGGAGGGAGGGAGTGGGGTGCAGGTTGCTCACCCACGGCACCGGGCCGGTGCTTGCACTTTGAATGCCGTGGGGCTCCTGCCCGTGTCCCGGGCGTGGAGATGCGAGGGTCGCCCCCCCTTGCCCCACCACTTTGTGTGTGTGGAGACGTTTACCTTACCTTACCTTACCTGAGCATACAACTTACAACATACGATACTCCTTCTGACCCGTTGGCGTTGCGCCTTGGAGATTGGCTGGCCACTACCGTACAGCAAACGCTCTGAGCCACCGTCTCGTTCAATCAGTCTTAAGATCAGTCCTCCACGCTACAGTGTGTGACAAAACTGGTTTGCGGCGGTCCCGGTAGCCAGTACCGCTGTAGCCTATACGGCATTGTGCATGGTGCGGAGTGCACTGCCGTTCTTAATGGAGTCGCTTAGGCGGCTCCGGTGGTGTGCCGGTGATAGTACTAGCACGCGCCAGTTCGCACCTGTGTCGAGCCTGTGTCCTGTGAGAGAGAGTTGTTTTGTTTAAATTCTTAAAGCCCTGGCGAGTACAGACCACGCCTGCATTCACAGCACAAGCCCTCGCCGGGGCTCGAGCATGCGCAGTACCGGGGGGTGGGGCGGCCGGAAGTCAACCAACGGCGGTACGCTTTTTGTCGCGTTGTTGGGATTCTGTGTGCCAGTGCCGAGTGTGTGTGCTGTGTGGCTGCACATGGACATGGGGGTCTTTCGCTTTTTCGGCCGCATCCCGCAACGCGCACCTCAAATCCAATTCCAAAGAAAGAGGTCCGATCAGACAGACAGACAGACAGACATCTAGATCTAAAGCCGTCAGCCGGACGATGGCGTATGTCAGCCCTCAGCCTCACTCAAAGCGGCGAAAAAATCCTGTGTCCTGTGACCGACCTGTGTCAGCAACTCGTCGATGGTATAGCCTGGCGGCGGGGCTCGCAGCTTCTCCACGCTACAGAGCCCGTCCCCGCCGCGGCACTCCGGCGCAGGAGCGCCCGCACGGTCGCACACCGCTGGCAGAGGCGGCACGCCCAGGAAGGCGAAGAGGCGGCGCATCGCATCCTCGCACGAGGCGCGCGAGGCGGTGAGCTCCTCCGAGTAGACGTGCAGCAGCGGCGTCGACGGCGCGACCTTGTCCCGCGCGTGGCGGAAGAAGGCGGCGTGCTCGCGCCGGAAGCGAGCGTACGAAGTGCGGTTGGCGCGCGAGCGGCTTGCGGCGCCGGCGGCGGACCAAGGCGGGAAGCAGCCGCGGCAGCCCGTGCGCGCGTTGAGCCTCGCCCACGCCTGGTGGTGGACTGGTAGTAGCAGACTGGTAGTAGCAGACTGGTAGGAGCAGACTGGTAGTAGCAAGCGACTCTCTCTCTCTCTCTCTCTCTCTCTCTCTCTCTCTCTCTCTCTCTCTCTCTCTCTCTCTCTCTCTCTCTCTCTCTCTCTCTCTCTCTCTCTCTCTCTCTCTCTCTCTCTCTCTCTCTCTCTCTCTCTCTCTCTCTCTCTCTCTCTCTCTCTCTCTCTCTCTCTCTCTCTCTCTCTCTCTCTCTCTCTCTCTCTCTCTCTCTCTCTCTCTCTCTCTCTCTCTCTCTCTCTCTCTCTCTCTCTCTCGCTCCCTCCCTCCCTCCCTCCCTCCCTCCCTCCCTCCCTCCCTCCCTCCCCCACGCCTCGTCGTCGCGCGGGCCCTCAGCCAGCCGCGCGTACGCCGCCTGTTCACAGCGCAGCAGGCGTGGAGAGGCGCCGTTCACAGCGGAGGGACGGCCGGGGCCAGCCGCGCGTACTGCCGCCTGCACCCGCGGCGTGGTACCCCAGTTGCCGCTCGTGAGCGCCCTCCGCCAAGAGGCGAACTCGGCGGCCACATCCTGCCGCTCGAGGAGGATGCGCCTGTTCACAGCTGGAGGTGTGAAGAGACGCTGCTCACGTCCTCTCCCGCTCCAGGGAGGATATACGCCCCCCCTGCGAGGTGCGCACGCCAGCCTCGGGGCGGGAAGACGGTACTGTGCAGAGTACGAGCACGCCGTGTGAATACGAGTAGTCGCACGGGGACAGTGGAATACGGCGGAACACAGCGGAACACGTAGTTGAGTCCGTGTCCTCTCGAGCGCTGGCTGGAGTACAGGAGTCCTCATTCCGCTTCTAGCCGTCCTCGCCGCCCGCCAGCAGCGACGAGCCGCGCCGCCGCCGCGCTACTCTCCCTCGCATCCTAAGGTGAGGAGACAGGCCCGGGACACTTCTCCACACACACACACACACACACACACACACACACACACACACACACACACACACACACACACACACACACACACACACACACACACACACACACAGTGGTGG